GGAGCTGGTGGGAGGTCAGCTGAGATTTAAGACTTAAGAGTCTGCAGAAAGAAGCCGGGCAGACTTGGGCCAGGCTACTCAGGACTCTGGAGAAACCGGACACGGAGCCCTCTGTTGTTGGAGTCGCTCATTACAAATGATGTTCGACAGCCATCTGGGCCAGATATGTGGGGCCTCCCCTAAAAGCTTGTGAGTGCTATCTGCCTGCGAGGGTCCCAACTCTAGTACAGAGCTGCCTGATAGGCATGAAAGGCTTCCCTCAGTCAGCAGACCACACGGTGAATTCACAGGAGTCTCCATCCATCCTGAAATTGCCCTGTGAATTTCACAATTATATTGCACTGGGTATTTGTTTGAGGGTTCCGTATGTCTGTGTAATGCAAATATTTATAATAAAAAAGTATAACTCATTAATGCTCTTTGGGGAACATCCATACATTCATATATGAGAGGGCTCTTGTGGAGAAAAAAAATGACATTAAAAGAATGGAATTTCCCACATATTTTTTGAAGCTTCTTTGTATGAATGTGTAGTGAGAGCTAGCTAGGTAGGAGTCCTGACGGTACAATGATTAGGCACCTATGTGGGGTGGGGTGGGGTGGGGTGAAGTTCAAGCTAGGGAACCATTTAGGGTCTTTTAACATAGTCCGACTTTTCATTAGCCTGGTAGTGTCCTGCCATCCAGGGTTCCTTCTGCCCAACAGCGACAGCTGAACCGGGGTCCCGCTGATTACTTTGTCATATGTACAAAGTGAATATGAAAATATAACCGAATCACAGATCTGAGCAGGAAGATTTCAAAGGGCAAATGTTCCTTGGGAGTAATTTCTTACTAATTAATTTAGTAATTTAGTAAATTAGACTAAAGTTTAATTTCTGGGACTGGTTGGTTCTCCTTCCTCCAAAATGACTGTGCTGCTCCTGATAAAACTGTTGTCATTTGTTACTGTAGGGCAGGACCCGCCCTCCCAGCAACCTTAATGTAGAACAGAATGAAACTTCTCCAGCCCCACCTCTGATCAAACCTTACTTTCCTATGTCTGTGGTTCTAGGGCACGGCTGGACAGCAGGTGCAGATAACATACAACAATGTCTTCTGGAGGAAAGATTTATCACTGTTAGTCTGGTCAGGAGTGTGAGAGTATATGCCAACCCACATAGCAGCTGAGGCACCTAATTTTACTACAAAAACTACATTAAAAATGTGCTGAACACCAGCCTGTGCAATTACAAGGTGTCGAAGGGATCAGGTATAAGGCATCATCAGAACAAAAAATCTTACCATAGTGAATGATGGGGGTAGTGCGGAGTGGAGACCCAAAGCCCATGAGTAGGCCACTGGAGATCCCCTTGCAGAGGGGTCTCAGGGAGGAGACGAGCCAGTCAGGGTACAATGTAGCAACGATGAAAAATACAACTTTCCTCTAGTTCTTTAATGCTTCCACCACCACCACTATCCCCATTACCATGACACGAATTCTACCTTGCAAGTCTGGCTGGACCAGAGGATGTACACTGGTGCAGATGGGAGCTGGAAATACAGGGAATCCAGGGCGGATGATCCCATCAGGACCAGTGGTGTGAGTGGCAATACTGGGAGGGTAGAGGGAGAGTGGGTAGGAAAGAGGGAACCGATTACAGGGAACTAACTATATGTGACCTCCTCCCTGGGGGACGGACAACCGAGGAGTGGGTGGAGGGAGACATCGGACAGGGCAAGATATGACAAAATAGCAATTTATAAATTATCAAGGGCACATGGGGGAGGGAGGAGCGGAGAGGGAGGAGAAAAATGAGGACCTGGTGCCGGGGGCTTGAGTGAAAAGGAAATGTTTCGAGAATGATGAGGGCAATGAATGTACAAATGCGCTTTACACAATTGATGTATGTGTGGATTGTGATGAGAGTTATATGAGCCCCTAATAAAATGATTTAAAAATAAATAAAGAAAAAAAAAGAAATTGCATTGAAACCCCAGAATAAATCATTCTTCTAAAATAAAACAGAAAAAAAAAATTAATGAAAATGTGCTGAAAAAACTCGGCTTATACACAAGTATATACAGTATATAAAATGTGCTGGCTTCCTGGCATATGACCAGTAAAAACCAGTTACCATCTAGTCATGTGTATGACGAGGTGATCAAGGGGACTCTGGACCAGCTCCAGACGTTGGGCAGAAGGAACCCTGGTTGGCAGGCCCCCACCATGTTTGTGAGAAATCTATTTTCTAAAGACCTTAAATTGTTTCCTAGCCTGAACCCCACCCCCACCCCACTGTCTATGTCCATCTTTTTCCCAAATGCAGTCTCTAATTGCCAACTACTCCACGGAGCTTAACTGAATTCTATGGCTCTCCATGGAAAATGCTTAGAGAGTGAGAAAGTGAGTGTGAGCTAAACATTCCCAGAAATTAAAATGATGAGTATGTGGCACAAGAAGGCCCAAACAACTGGGTCTCTGTGGTTTGGGGGGCCTAGGTCACACAGGCTCCATTCAATTAGCAAAGGATCTGGCAGCGTGAATCAGTTCTGAATCAGTTAGCCAGCTGATAGAATGGAGAGAAGGGACTTCCCAAGCTGGGAGAAATACTTCCAACACTTTCAAAAGGCTACTTAACCATGTGTCTTAGGAATTTGATTTAAATTTAATGGGAAGGCTACAAAACAGTTCATTCAAGCTTTTAAATCTCCCTTTTGATTTGCCAAGGTGGAGAGGAGAAAAAGGAAGCATGGAAGAACAAGTGGCATCTAACAGCAAAGGCTCTCCAACACAAGCTCTCAATACAGACATACACTGGCTTGTTTCCACACCAAACCCAAGGCCAACTCGCTGTCCTCAAGTCCAATTCCGAATCACAGGGACCAGCCCTGCCTCAAACTATCACACGAGAGCTACCCTGAGCAAGTTGAGCGGGGCTGCAGAATTTTCATCAGAGCGAACTTTCAACTTTTGAAAGTACAACCTAACCACAAGAGGCTGCTGTCATTTTGCTTGTAATTCCAGATCGGCCAGGAAGTCTTGTACCAACATGACTCAACTTCCCTACTCATCTTGTGAAGAAGTTATTAAACAATATAAAATTAGGGAACTGGATGTGGAAAGCTGTCTGTATCTGCCACACTTGGGGTCAGTGATGGAACTGAGGAGCCACTTTAACAGGACTTCTTACCTAGAGCCCCCCAGGTCAGCCACAGAAAGATAAGGCTGTCAACTCCTGTACAGATGCACAGGGGCAGTTCTACTCTGTCCTATAGGGTTGCTGTGAGTCATAATCGACTTCCGGGCAGTGAGTTTGGTTTCCTGAGTTCATTCCCAGCTCCTACTCCTTACTGCCCCTCCCCCTGCTTTATTTTTCTCTATACCACTTAATACAAGTTGACCTACAAAATCTGCTTAACCCGTAAACGGTCCATCTCCCTTCACCATGTTAGCTCAGTGAGGGCAGGGTTTGGCTCACTGCTAAATCCCTGCCCTCTACTGAGTGAATGAATGACTGCTATTAGGGCAAGTGCCATTTTACTTCAAGTTGGCAGTGTGACAAGAAAGATTTCTACCAATGAAGTGAAACAGCAAAAGCGTCTATAGATGGACAGGCTCAAGGTTGGGCACTGAGAGGCTAGGAGAGAATTCCCCGAGTCTGGTTTTCATAGTAGATTGAAGGGACCCACCAGCCTCCTTAAGGGGGGAGGGAAGAGAAGGAAAGGTAGGCCATTTTGAAACAGCCTCTTCAGAAACTGTCTTTAAAAGTTAACTCTCAAAAAAAAAATGTTAGCTCTCATCTAAAACATTTTGCTTCCAGCCACACTTAGCCTGACTTAGCCTGCGGAGGCCTTCGTGAAGCCACAGCTAGACACCCCCCCCCAGCCCGGCATCACTTCAGTTTTGTTTCTTAGGGGCAGAGGGAGGGGCACAGCAATAAGGTCTGATAATGATAGCTTCATAAGGAAAAAGCACAGACCCTATTCAGGGTCTTAAAAACAAACAAACAAGGCTTGAAGGTAAACAAGCGGCCATCTAGCTCAGAAGCAACAAAGCCCACATGGAAGAAGCA